TTCAAACACCTGGGATCGAGCTACCTGAGTAACTGGGACAATAGTCATGCATTACTGTGCATGGCTAAGTTTTCTGATTTTTTTATGGAGACAGGATCTCACTCTTGCTCAGGCTGGTCTCAAACTCCTGGCCACAAGCAGTCCTTCCACTTTAGTCTCCCGGAGTGCTAGGATTACAGTTACGGGCCACTTGCACCCAGCTGTAATTGTGTCTTTTTTATTTATTTACTTATTTTTGAGACAGAGTTTCATTATGATGCTGGTAGAGTGCCATGGCATCACAGCAACCTCCAATTCTTGGGCTTAAGTAATTCTATTGTCTCAGCCTCCTAAGTGGCTGGGACTACAGGCGCCCGCCACCAGACCCATCTATTTTTTTGGTTGTAGTTGTCATTGTTTGGCAGGCCCTGGCTGGATTTGAACCTGCCAGCTCCTGTGTATGCAGCTTGTGCCCTAGCCACTGAGCTACAGGCGCCATGTCTAACTGTGTCTTTTAATTTAAAGTGTGTCACTTGAGGTTAGATAGCATTTTTAATCCATTCTAATTGATCAAAAGGCTAATCTCTACCTTTTGGTTGGAGTGTTTAATCCATTTATATTTCATGTAATTGTTAAGATAGGATTTATGTCTGCCATTTTACTATTTTCTTTATATCCTATTTAGTTTTTGTTTCTTACCTCCTTCATTACTGCCTTCTTTTCTTTTTTTGAGACAGGAGCCTCAAGCTGTTCCCCTGGGTAGAGTGCCATGGCATTTCAGCTTGCAACAACCTCTAACTCCTGGGCTCAAGTGAGTCTCCTGCCTCAGCCTCCCAAGTAGCTGGGACCACAGGCGCCCGCCACAACGCCCGGCTATTTTTTGGTTGCAGCCGTCATTGGTGTTTGGCGGGCCGAGGCTGGATTCGAACCCACCACCTTGGGTTTATGTGGCTGGCGCCTTAGCCACTTGAGCCATAGGCACCAAGCCACTGCCTTCTTTTCTATCAAACACATTTTGTAGTATATCATTATAGTCCTTTCTTTTTTTCTTATTGTATTGTTTCTTCATGGTTGCCCTGGGTGTTACAATTAAAATCGTAACGTAAAACAATCTAGTTCACTTTAACAATAACATAATTTCAATGGTATAAAGAATTTTTTTGTTTTTTTAAGAGACAGAGTCTCACTTTGTTGCCCTTGGTAGAGTGCTATGGCATCAACAGCTCACAGCAACCTCCAACTCCTAGTCTTCTTTTTTTTGAGACAGAGCCTCAAGCTATCCCCCTGGGTAGAGTGCTGTGGCATCACAGCTCGCAGCCACCTCCAACTCCTGGGCTCAAGTGAGTCTCCTGCCTCAGCCTCCCAAGTAGCTGGGACCACAGGCACCTGCCACAACGCCCCGCTGTTTTTTGGTTGCAGCCATCATTGTTGTTTGGCAGGCCCGGGCTGGATTCGAACAAGCCACCTTAGTTGTATGTGGCTGGCACCTTAGCCACTTGAGCCATAGGCGCTGAGCCACCAACTCCTAGTCTTAAGCAATTCTCTTGCCTCAGCCTTCCAAGTAGCTGGGACTACAGGCACCCACCAAAATGCCAGGCTATTTTTTTTGTTGCAGTTTGGCTAGGGCCAAGTTCAAACCTGCCATCTTCAGTATATGGGGCTGGCACCCTACCCACTGAGCCACAGGCACCACCCTGTTCCACTGTTTCAAACTTGCTGTTAAGGCCCTCTAATGGAGTTTTCATTTCCTTTATTATACTTTTGAAGTCCTAATTTTTTTTAGTTCTATAATGTTTATTTCTTTACTGATAATTTGTATTTCATGAAACATCTCATTTTTTATTTTTTGAGGCAGAGCCTTACTCTCTTGTCTCAGGCTTGAGTGCCATGACATCACCCTAACTCACAGCAACTCCAAACTCATGGGTTCAAGTGATCCTCCTGGGTAACTGGAACTACAGGTGTCCATCACAATGCCTGGCTAATTTTTCTACTTTTAGTGAGATGGAGTCTCTCTCCCGCTCAATCTAGTCTCAAATACTTGAGCTAAAGGGATGCTCTTACAGCCTCCCAGAGTTCTAGGATCACAGGTGTAAGCTACCATCCCCTGCAAGATACCATTTTCTTACTTTCCTTTAATTCATTAGGTATAGTTTCTTTTATTTCTTTTAACTTATTTATTACCAGCTGATTTGGGATTTTTCTCTAGTAAGCCTAATACCGGGACTTAAGTTAGTGTTTCTTTTTGTTTTCTTTTTCTTTTTCTTTTTTTGAGAAAGAGTCTCCCACTATTACTTAGGCTAGAGTGCTGTGACACCATTTTATAGGTCACAGCAACATGAAACTCCTGGGTTCAAGTGATCCCCCTGCCTCAGCCTCCTCAGCTAGAACTATAGACACCCACCACAACACTCAGTTCATTTTTCTGTTTTTAGTAGAGATAGGATCTCCCTCTTACTTAGGCTAGTCTTAAACTCCTTAGCTCAACCAGTCCTCCTCCCTTAGCCTCCCAGGGTGCTGGGATTACATGTGTGAGCCACAACACCTGACCATATTACTGTTTCTGTGTTTTGGTATTTTTTATTGAAAACTAGATGTTTGGAATAATATTATGTGGTAA